GTCTAGCTTCGATTGACTCATGATCTCAACCATTGAAATTACTATAATATCCACAAAACCCTTCTGATATGAATTATTTTATTTTCGAAAAAAAAATTAAAAAGTAATTCATATATCCAATTTATTATTTGATTTTTTATCACAGACATGTCTTTTTTTCATTTTCCAGTCACATCAACAAAAAGTTTACACTATGATGTTATGGATTTATTATTACGTAAGAATTTATCACAATTTGGAAATATTCAACGTGATGATGTACAATCTTGTTGTCATCCAACTCAATTAACTAGTATGTCTGTTTTATACTTGGATTCAAATCGTGAATTACAAATGCATACATTACATAATTTAATTGTTTTAGGATGTGCTTGTAGTTAATAACACTATTCATTCCTATTATATTCTAAATTACATGTCTACTACATGTGTGTAATGTTGATTATTTTGTTCAATTACATAAATTCTATTGTTGTTATTGTTCATGTTCAATATATTGACTATCTAAACAAATGCTTACATTTTCAAATATAAATTAAGAATATATATAACGGTTATGAATTTCCTAGATAGATTATTTACTTACATAAAATGTTCCCATCTATTTATGTATGTTGTGAATTGTTTTAATTTGGATGTAACCATTTCACAATAATGATTAAATATGGAACATAATTCAAACACTATTAATGAATCATATATTCAGGCGTTCAATAAATGTCATTTTGTTTCTATCACTAATCAACTAGTTCATATAAGATTTTTGATAACTTCTAAAAGAGAGAGAGAGAGGGAAAACTGTCACAAACATCACAAATGATCTGATCATTATGGCTGACTTTTTTGCAATATTATTTTTTAACATTACAAAATCAAACACACACACATACATTTCGTCATCATCATCATCATTCATTATCCTTTTCTCTTAACCTAATACTGAATGAAAGTGAAATGTCAATAACTGATTTTGTGTTCTGTTTAAATGTTCACAATCATTTTATTTGTTTTTCTTGTATTCATATATTTGCTGTTGTTGATGTTTGTGAAATGTGAAATAATATTCAATTTTATGTGTAAATTTTAATACATAGAAACGAAAAAAAAAGAAACTGGCCGAGTTTATCCGTAGCGTTTTCAACGTTGAATAAGCGTGTTGTATTTAGAACTTTCAGTTATTGTCTTATGTTGATTTCGTGTATTAGAGTGTAATTTATCACTAAATATCTATATACACGGTATGTTGACATGTACGAAATTTCCATGTTCATACTAAACAGGTACTAATAATCCTAGACGCTTGAAATGAAAATTACATTCAACACTCACCGAATGAGAATATGTTTAAAACTGTTAGATACAACACACTTACTGAACAAAGAAAACGTTGAAGAGCACATCAGCTAGAAAAATTAGTAAGAAGTTGATGACCTTACAAACAAAAAAAACAATCCGCCTGAATGATATGTTGCTTAAAAACAATACATTTTATTTATTAATAAATCAGATTTACGCTTTAATAACGTGTTGTTAACAGTTGCACAGTGAATGAATGCTTTATTATGCTCAAAAACTGTTCAACAGAACTTGTTCCTTAAAATAATAAACTAATTCTAAGTATAGGGTGATTATTTAATATAGCTAACCAATTTCACACGGAATCTGTCATGAAATCTAGAACAATTACACATTCTAATTAACTTGTCTACTTTGTCTTTTATACGGGATTTTTCATGCGTGCATCCTGAGACAAATATTGCAGACAAGAACAGAACATTGTAAGAAACATTTATATATCAGGGTTTACTTCAGTATACTAGATTATTTATGGCAACAGATATAACCCAGATATTTAAGAATACAATTAGAATTTCTCTTATCAGCTCTCTTGAAAGTCTTATCAGCCTTGACGAAATCTCGGCACGGATTTATAAAGCTTGATTGACCGTTGGCAATTCGCGTCTGTCGTGGAGCATGCGAGTTATGCGTCTGCAATAAAAGGATGGACAACAGTCCGCTTTGTTGTACTCCATGAGCATGAAACATGGCTATCGAGAATAGGGGTTATTCTTAGGTTATTAGTATTCTATCACAAGCGTCTTCAAAGCATCGCTCGTGTATTTTGGGTGAATATGACAGACGGATTGACGAGGTAGTAAATCGTCATCAACTGCGTTGGTTGGGATACATGTTAAGTTTGTCCAAACACCGACTATGTTGGTGGGCGATGTAGTGGTATGGCGTCCTCTGATACGGATCATTTGAGCCCAATACGGAAATCCTCGTATTGATTCATACATTCTCTCCTATAATCTGATTTAGCGACTTAACGTTTCCTAAATGCCTTACTATGCAAGAGAAACAGGACTAAGGGAAGTGGGTGGCTATGTTGTTAAGAGTGAGTGTATGTAGAAATCATACCTATTATATGACGAGTTACATGAGGAACGATTTAGTCCAGACGCCTAAAAAACTCATTTACAATAGGCCCTTGTATTTACATGATCTATTTACCATTATGAACTCATATGATCCGTCTGACCATGCAGCAATATAATATATATCCGGGTTTGTAAAATGAAAAATTAGGTCATTTCACTTGTTCTAGAATCACTAGGCATTCTATATCAGTAAGTTAGATATAGACACCTTTGGATCTCTACTCAGTGGCCTCGAGTTCGCGAGCGTGACTGATCCTATTTCCGATCCCCGTATGTGAATTAGTGGGTGTGCGCTGCTAAGGAGTCGCATACTAAGACGAAACGGACATTCAGCGCTTCCAGGTTTTCAATAGTAGTCTAGCTTAGTTCGGTTCATGATTTCAATATAGTTCAACAAACTGCACAACCCAAAATTGATAAATAATAGTCACTTGGATTTATCAATCAGATTTAAAATGTTAACTTTACATAAAACAACTTTTAGCATAACATCTTTTACGATAAATATGTTTAAGATAACAAGAAACTAGACATTGAAAGTTAGTCATAAATATAAAGTGGTTGTAAATGTATTGTTTACGATGTAGAATATCTAAGGGAGGATTAATACTGTGTATTTTACATATTCGTTAGGTATCATCAATACTGTATGTATTAAATTGAATAATACTAACTCATAAAATTACATTCTTAAAGTTAGAATTAAAGTATGTAAAGTTGAATTTATAGTAATATTAAAGTTTGTAACGTTAGGGTACTTGAAACAAGAGCAAAGTTTTGAAACAGTGTATCCATTTGTTTTGTATATTCTGTTGTAAGCAACATTCGTTCCTTTTAGGATACAGTTATATTGATATCTAACAACTTGAATTAAGATTAATCTATTAATTATTACTATGCTTTGCTGAAGATATTTTGACAAAAATATGCTATATTCACGAGTCAACCAGATTTAAGATGACATTGAGTTGTTGAGCTGAATTCAAAAACTAATGGCAGGGGGCTAACAACTGATTGAAAACTGCCAATATCTAGTTCTCAGAATAATAAAATATCTTTTATCCAACCACACAGTAAATACAAGATGGTGCTTAAATTACGTTATAAAGAATAACTGATTCTAATACAGTGAGCGTTTGATGTGACTCAATGAGTAGTAAAGGATACTTTTGTAGATAAAAAGTATTCTTCCATCCTAACCTATACACCTAACTCTAACACTTCTAACCCAGTCTCATAGCTCTACTCCGACTTCGAATGTCAAATCCCAACCCTTTCCCGTTTACTATCATAAATAATCCAATAATGTGAATGTTCATCCATTATGTGAAAACTGTTTATTAAACAATTCTTACATAACTGACGCTTTTTGATTGGCTAATAAGTCCCTGAAAGTCGTCGATATCAGGTGTCTTTACAAATATTATTATCGCGGATAGCTATTCTAACATCGTATTCATCATATGTCCATACATACATACAATTTTAAACCCCACATCTCTATATATTTAGTGTTTATTCTAAAAAACTGAAATATTGTGAAATCGTCAGCAGTATAAACCTACAACCACACCAGGCATCGAAACTAAGAATAAAAACCACTGTACGTCGACTTGGTAAATTAAAGGTTAATCCCTCATCGCGAGATCTGAATGTTCTAGCTTCTATTACCGGCAGTGGGGTCATGGATGTATACTGCTGAGGATTAATATACTACGACAAAACAGCTGTACAGTGTCTCCACTTATACTCATATAAACCAAATATTTCGTGAACAAGACCAAGTCAACTGTATTATGTCGACAACGATTCGGCATCTATATCACTAATACAACTAATGATAAAACCACACATACACACACAAAATGAAACAATTAAATGAAATGGTAAATAAGAAGAAATGTAAGAAAAAAGCCGTCTATTTTCAATAGTAAAATATAATATTCTCAATGTCATTAAAGAAAACGAGCAATATGAATATTGGACGAGAACTTAATTAATTGACGTTGAGAAGGAAACAGAAAGTAGGATGAATAAAATATATTAGAATGAATATTGAAAATTAATCAGTGAAAAAATAAACGTAAATCACTTTCAAGTAATAACAATGACAGTAATGATGATGATAGCGCTGATGGTGTTGAAAACGGTAAAAATAAAAAGTCACTTCCTAAAATTAACAAGAATAGTATATTCACTTTGAAATTATTCACAAATTAATGGCGCTTTGTTATATCTCATCTGATTCATAATTACTTGATAAGAAATTCAGCAGTTTTGAAGCGATCAAATAGTCGAAAGTTGTCAATGAATCTGATTCAGTACCACTTTCTATATTCTTTGAAGGTTGAAAAAGACTGCTTGTTCTTGTGGTCTGAGATAAACTATTTTTGTAGTCAACCTGATGTTTGTGTTCGTTTGGAACAGTTGACGAGTTTAATGATGATGACGACGGGATTACATTATGATTTGAATAGTGTCTTTCATTAATGAGTTCATGAAGAAATGTTTCAATATCATAACATTTGGCTAAGTCAGCAAGACTTGAAAATCGTACAGCTAAGAAGTAGATTGTACGCAGTAAATAAATTGCTAAAATGTTTCGTTTAAATAAATAAAAACAGAAGTAAATCTAAATTGGGAAAAATCGGGTTTTTATTAATTGATTACAATAGGGATAAAAGTGACTGGTTCTAAGAATATTAATCAAGTTTCAAAGTATATTGGGATATAAGGCGTCGAATAGACGATACTTGGTAATGTGACCATACAGCACGAGCTGTCTGAAAATACCTATAGTGAGCTGTTATCAGAACTGATGGCACCAAGTGTTTTTCATCAACACCCCTTACTTATCCATTTATATGGAAAAATCTCTAGAAATATCGATTTCTTCCTCTGACTTTTCAGGGATTGATCGCCTACCAAATCAGATTACTGACTTAAAATATGAAGATGATATAGTTTTGTTTGATGAAGACGCTGACGAAATTCAGTCTTCTGATAGCCTTAAGCAACGATGCAAGCATGTTTAGGATGTCCTTCTCCCCTTCTGAATGCAAAATACTGTTTCAGGACTGGTCTTCATCAACCTTTAAATTGATTTTAGGGAATGCAGTATCTGATTGTGTTGGTAGATTCACTCATTTTTGAAATCTCATAAACTCTGGAGGGTTGGTGACTGACTAAATCTCGACATGGATTCGTAAAACACCCTTAGCTTTTACCGACTTGTGTCATATGTGGTGAGTACGAGATGTCCGTCTGGGATGACTATATTGCACAACAGTTCACCCTGAATTACAATATAGTTGTGAAACAAAACAGCCTATAAAAGAAATATGTAGGGTGTAAGTATCAAATCACAGGTTTCTTAGAAGTATTGTTCGCCTTTGCTAGAATAACCTGATGAGTATATCTGTCCCAGGCTTTATATCGATTAAGATAGTATTACCATGCCAGAACAAGAACAGTATAAATTTTCTAACTGTCAATAATATTTTATTAATTTTACAGTATATTATATCAAGTTAAAATAAGATTCAATATTTAACTTCCTCACTAGGTACTTGAATATGAACCACACTCTGGGTGTGATGACAGCTAGTTGCTACTGCACCGGGTTGCTCGGGACCGAGCTAGGTGGAGTGAGGACTTACTTAGTGATTGAAAGCTGAACACCTTAACCATTAAGTCATAGGTTCCACTTCAAGTTAGAATCTATGTTTAATTTAAAAGAAACTAACCCTCACGTCCAAAAAAGAAAAAAATTATTAACTTACTATCGATTGGATATTAAATGATTTTTCACTTGTTACAGCTAGATGTAACAAATAACTTCCCAGTTCTAACGCTTCATTTTCACTGAGCTATCATAGTCATCCGAATCGACATTGACATGAAAAAAATAAAAAGAAGTTGGAAACCAATCATTTAATTAATAATTTAGATAAAAAGGATAGTTGTGGAAATCGGTTTAGTGTATGTAGAGATAGAGTTCTCAAGAGGGACTACTGATGCTGACTACAAATTATTCTTTTAAAAGAAAACAGTAAAAACACTAGATATATGTTTTATTCTAGCTTGAAACTCTTCATTAGTGAGCGCAATGAATACATCGAGAACAAAAGCGAAGACATTCAGGTCGTCTCAGGTCCATATTACTATTCAAGAGAGTGATCCATATTTATCAACCCTAGTTTATAACGAGTGATTGTCATTCACGAAGTCATTGGTGATGAGTTTTACTCTTGATATGCATTCATTTTATCAGTTAAGACCTCCTACAAGAATTGTTGCGGAAAGTTTAACAAGCACACAGCTATTAATTTGGTTTGGGGAGATTTTGTAGAAACCAGCTCACAATATGAAGTGTGTTCTCATCTCAGAATGATTATATCGAACCAACTGTCTATTGGGCTCCTTGGTTTTACACTAAATGACATCAGTTCATAATGAGAACTCTCTCTGCATACGTGAATAATAATGATTAAATAAATCCCATAAACATCATTACCCTCAAAATTTTATAATTTACTTAATAAAACATCAAATAAACATTTATCTTATTGAATTTACCCACTTTGGATGATGTAATACCACTTCAATTTTTTTTCTTATCCTATTTCTAAAGGACACTGTAAGTATATGTTGATACATAACAGCAATGCACACAACTTGGTAACCCTTTTTTCAGTTAACTGAAATAAGAACTTTTAATTTCTTTTCACCATACTGAATTAGCTTCAAGTAGACCATATAAATGAAATCTTTATTTGTTTTAATTACACATTGAATTGAATATTCAAAGCGTGTTTACCTTGGCCTTAGTGATCAGTTAACTAGCTAACTGTATAAGTAATTGTCTAGAATAAGACAATCACACTTTGAAATTATTCCAAATGTAATAAGAAAGCGAACAGCGTTAAAATGATGAAATATTGGAACTAATTTGAAATAAGACCAGTTGACCTCTTAAAGTATATCAATATTTATTTTTCTAATACGTCTAACAAGAATCCCTTAGAGTAACTCAGAAAGACTGACAATTAATTAATCAATTGTTTATCTAGTGACATGATGTGTCGATTTAATTCTACGAATGAATAATTTCCTACAAAGCTAAGATAACTTTTGAGTTATGTAGTAGAGATCCTAACAACATTAGTAGATAAATATGCCTACCAGGAAAAATGATTTTATAGATGACATCCAGCTGTTCCAAAAGATTTTAAAATCCTTCCCCACCATCAAAGAAAAATAGACCCTTAAAAGTGTATTTCATTACTACTGAAAAAAACATACTATGATAGTTTGTAACAGCCAATAACTAAGAGTCAGTCAGTCGCAACGTAGAACCTGTAAGTATGTACATTAGTTCAGATTGCCATACCCCAATCGTACAGAAAGATGAAGTTATCAGGATAAGTCCCAGAATAGTTGAAGTAGTGACAGCATCAGAGTTAATAGGAAAGATTAAGCATCTAAGATACGACTCAAAAAGAAAATATAAATTAATGAATTAAAAGCAAAACAAGTTATGAGGAATTCAAGATCTCAGAATTTAGAGGAAGACAAAGAATGGATGTACTTGTGCCATTCCAAACGATTTTGAGTCATATCTTTTAAAGTCTCTAACCAACAACTAAAATATCACATATTATAAATAAAAAATATAATTCGAGTACACTGACTTATTTGAAATATGCCACGTGTGATAAGTAAGATAAAGGCATCAATTTAAGTTGCCTTGTTCTGAAGTCCAACAAAAAGTTCAAAGTTTTACGTAAAGATCTATAAACTAATGGAAATCTACTGTTACGGGGCTTGTAAATGAATAGAATCACTCAATATAGGTAGATTTACAAGCGATTTCTACCTTGGTGCTACGTTTGAAGAGATTATGATATCACCTAAAACCGGTCAACTCAACAAAAGTCAGCAATAAAACAATAGGACAAGCTAAACTATTCCACTGCGCCTCAGTCCTGCCAACTAGAGGGAAAAGACCAGATTCAGCCGAGGGAAATGTATATTCTACAAGCAACCCGGAAACACGAATAAACAAGTACATAACTTGGGAGCATATAAACAGTACAAAACTGCCCTTGGAAAACGTTACGAAATAGTGTACTAAAGGAGGAAACGAAGCAATGACATTTATTAAAGTCCTTCCAAGTGAGAAATACAAACTGAAGGTAAAAGTGGGCGTTTTGGGGCGGAAATGAGAAGTTTAAATTTCCGAAATAAAATTATAAAAATGAGATGTTTACCAAGTGATTTCTAGGGATTTAGCATCCCCAACACTTGGATAGTTGTTTATCTTATTCTGTTCACTCAAATTTTTCTCACTACACCACTGATATTATTATTCTGACGTTATATTTTTGCTAGAAATTATATTTATTCTCATTCGTTTCAATGATTTAAAGTGTAACAACTTAGGTCCTTGTATTATTTATGCTAGGTCCTATACAACTGTTCACAATTATTCAGGCTGGTAGTATCATTGAACGGAAATACACAGCAAAAACAAAATGCAATAGTTTGGTCATCAGCAGAATGTGGAGGTATCTTCCTTACAATCTGATTGACCTCAAACTCTCTCTCTCTCTCTCTCTCTCTCTCTCTCTATATATATATATATATATATATATATATATATATATATGCCTAACTTAGATTGTTTAGTGATCTTAATTTTTAAAAAAACGCAACTCACCGTTGGATATAAGGAAACATTGTGGGCTAATGCTAAACCGACCAGTTTATGTTCTGGCAATAAATTTGGTAAATAACTAGGTGTTATTACTGTTGATGGTGTGGAAGCGGATCCCATAATCTCTTTGGATAAATGATTTTCAACATCATGATTTAACAGGGTTAAACTAATTTGCATAATACTATTGATATCTAGCTTCATATCATCATCACGCATAATTGTCCAATTCAATGATAAACCTAAACAGTTGCACAGCTGAAAAGAAAATCAGAGACAATAGTTAAAAAAGATAAGCAAGCGAAAACATCGATCACTAAAAAAAGAAAGAAATTTAGTTTATACACTAAGATTTGTACTTTCCTCTGTATTAATATAAATGACTATATGTGTCTTGGCCTTTGAACACTAACTGATGTTTGTGCAGTCGAAGATGAAGGGAGCATCCACATTGTCCGATATAGAGTTTTCTGCAACTAGAACGGTTTGTTTTCATTCTTTTATCATTTTGCCCTTTGATTTGCATAAGATTGATTAAAATGACTTTGTTGGTTCGTGTGCTACACCTATTCTAAACAGCTGCAATAATCTCTTGATTTCTGATGTCTTTTATATATATATTAGGATGATGCGTTTGTTGGCTTTTTTACTTGAAAGCTCTACGACCGAACCATCCAGCTCAAAGAACGAAAATCCACCAAAGTAGTTTGGGCACTTGGTTTTCAATCAAACATGTTCCAGGTTTCAACCCTGAATCACTTCAGCTGTGGTAACCGAGTAGGATATCACCAAACTTCATACAAAGTGTGATTAAAAGTCGACCATATATACCTACAATTCTTTAATGAGTACATATCACTTCGAATGCGAAACATAATTTTTAAAAGTAGAGTATATTCCTAAGTTACTAGTATTTAAGATAACGAAGGTAACCCTATTAATGTATAACGTAATGATACCACCTATTAGAGAGTAGTGATTTATTGATCGGACCAATGACGCATAAAACCTGTACGAACAGTCTAGAGTCTTTATCGGGCCTGCTTCCCTCCTAGCCCTACCTGTTAAGTCTAGAACACCAACCTCAGCCTCTGAGATATAAGTCATGTATTCCGAACATACTGGGTTTATATACAAGCCAACAAGACCACATCGTACCATAAAATAGGAAACAACATTTGTACAAGATTTAGCTTAATGTGTCTGTGAATGTGGGAGATAGTAATTGGTAGACTGAGCATAACTCAAGAATGGTAAAGGGTATAATAATAAAGCTTATAGTAAGAAGAACACGAATATGAGTGGTTTAGTTACTTAAAAATTATACAATAAATTATACGTATAGTATTAGTTCAGAAATATATTCCAACAGTTTCTGTTCATTATTCTTAACGGGATATAACACTTGATACATGTTCTTTATCTTTAACGATCTCCTATCGTCATTGATACTACTACTTCTACTAATTTAGTATCCATCTTCATAATTCCATCTTTCTGTGTTCATAATGTGATATAAAAACATGAATCAATTCACATGTTCCACGTCCGATGTTGCTTGCAACTGATTAACGGTTTCATAGGAGTGATTAATAGCTCAGCAGTTAATACTAAACGCTATAATCAAAGTGATATTAAACCCAAAGAATCGTAATATTACAGTGAATACTATAATTAACTGATCAGTTTTTTTCGCACTGATAAAGTGTATACTTTAATGTGTTGATCATAACGCTTGCCAGCGTGTGACACAACCCACTACCATTTGCTAAAATTAAAGTTCCATATTTCACAAATAACCAAAAAAGATATCTACTTATGTATGCTCATTTCATAATCGATATACATATGGCAATTGTCAAAGAATACACACATACAGTGAATGTAGCTGAAAATCTACTAAAAATAATTTCGTTATACCCTGATTATAAAATTAAATAATGAATAAAACGATTTCTTCTTGGATTGACAAAATTCATTGAAGTAGGTAATAGGGGAAGGGAGGAAATTGAAAGACACCCTGATTATTAAATAATATAAATAAATAAATAATATAAAGAAAATTTGTCAGTTTAGAACACAGAAAATACTTACTAATTTTGCACGAGATGCTTCAATATCGTAAAATTCACATGGTTTTACATAAGGTGTTTTAACTGTACTTAATTTGTGCAATAAACGTCTTGGATCAGTGAACAAATTCATCAATATATTAGGATCTTTCCATATAGCTAAACGAAATAATTCACATACTGCCCGACATTGATCACCCGTAATCAATTCATCCAATGCTGTTTATTTAAAAAAAAAATAACAACAGGACTAGGTAATAATAACGTAATTTATTGAGTTATCAGCATAAAGGTTTGCAGTGACTAATTTCTGTAATTCTAATGATAGGCAACGGACAGTGGAGTCCAAACGTGTCGAGTGGGTGGCAGTTACCCACCTAAAACAGAATAAGATGGTCATACAATATTACCATTTGATTAAAGTTAGACACAACATTGGATCCGGATCAGTGGTCTAGGTGTTCAGCGTTCGTACGCAAGATTGAAGGACCTGGGTTCGATTCCACATGGTGGGGTCGTAGATTTACACTACGACTGGTAAGTATATACAACTGTTTTTCGTAATTACTCAATTGTTGTGCTTATCTCACTGCTTACAATTGATTGGTTAGTGAGTAGTGACCAGTGCCATGTACGTCGAATCCTTCTTAGCGCCAATTGAGTTCTGTCGATCAAATAACACTGAATCGAATCCGACAGAGAGCATAAGTTTCCTCAAGACCACAGGTACACCTTGCTGACGATTGTCAAATAATATGAAACCTATATCCAGGGTTTCCTATTGCCTCCTTTCCGTTTGATATATGTAGCTCACATTTTCTTTTCCGATTAAACTACACCTACTCCATATTCTTATAACAATTACAGCAATTTACCATTCAGAAATAAACTATTGATGACTAAATTTTACTTGTTTCGATTGTAGTTAAGTCCAAACTTTTGACTCATCAGTATAACAAAATATTTGTGAAGATACGTGTACGAGAAATAAATCAAAAAATGTATATCGCAAACAATTCCTAAGGTTAAAAAACAGTGGTAGGGTTATCCCTAATGAGTAAACAAAGTGAAGACAGTGATGGACAGAGAACCACACTCTTATTTCATTGGAGAGAATTTATTATTAACTTTGAATTGAATGGCTACACAGATACAGTTAGGTATATGTTCCTTGTAAGAATGATTCAATAATAGTGCCTACATATTAATGGATAGGTGATAGCACAGAATTAAACTGGAAAATCCTCGTTAGCAGTGTCTTAACTAAGAGATCGGAAGGTTTTGGGTTGCGTTGAAAGATTTGAAAAATTCACAGAACTATGTAGTGACTACTTATAGGAGAGCGAAACGATAGTTAAGAAATCCAACTTTCAGCCACTAAATGACAGTTTCGGACACTGCCCCACCTACTTCAGTCTAGGCAAGACGATAGTATCACTAGCCTTCACAGTTAGAACGTGGCTCAGAGCCAAGCAGTACACAAATACGCACATGGTAAATAGGTTTTATGTTAGTTTTATTACAAGAGAATACTCATGAGATAACATTTCTTAGAAATATATTTTAAGGTGATGAAAACCAATATCTCCCGTACTTCGCTCCTTAATCTGAACTAGTGATGTATGCTAGAAAAGCATTCAATGTTACAAAAACTGCTTAACAAAATAGTAAACATTTCGAGTGTTGAACAACAGACCGACAATAGTAGACTTTAAATACGCATGAAAATTCATGCAAAGTTTTAAAATTGTACTGATTCAAAATGTATATGTAATGGATAGAGTAAGATAAGTTAAAAACCCTTCAGATCATTAGTTTGTCTAGATTATTGTTTTACAGATGCTTTTTAAGCAAACAATATTAGGATTCTAAATGATACATTAAATTCCAATATATATCAATGACTATTGAGAACTTGTGTTGATAGTCTACGGGGTCTAGGTTTTGTACCAGTTTGCACTCACCACTAAGATCTACCTGTAATCTTTAGTGAAATGATGGCCAATGTGAAATTTCCACCCTCGTCACCCAACTTCTTGAACTTGTAACGCTGAAAATTCTGTAGTGGGATTGTGATTTAGCGATTAAAGCACACAATCTTTAACTAATGAATTACAGATTTAAAGCTCATTTCATTTATTTTGATTTCACCAGCCATGTAAAGTAGTATCCACTGGTTTGCATAATTCAATCATGCAATTTAACATCAGTGCAAAAAATATTGACTACAATTTTCCTTACCGAATAAATCACTATCACAGTCAATTGACCAATAACCAGTAGGCTCAATCAATATGCTAGAGGACATATTTGGTTAACAACGCAAATAGGTTACACGAATAGTAGTAGGTTAGATGAACTTTGAACCGGTAATGAAATAGTAGAAAATCAAGTCCCGAAATCTAAGTCACAACTTCAGTGCAAATTCGTTAGCTTTCGTGATATATCTTTTAAGCGATATTACAGAAATAACGAACCAATATCACAGGTAGGATGTACCCTGTTCTTATGTACATCGGTACAGAAAGATGAAGTTATCAGAATAAGTTCCAGAATAGTTGAGGTAGTAGGAAAGATTGGGCATCAAAGATACGACTCAAAAAGAAAATATAAATTAATGAAATAAAAGCAAAAAAAGTTGTGGGTAATCCAGGATCTCAGAATTTGGAGGAAGACAAAGAATGGATGTACTTGTGCCATTCCAAACGATTTTGAGCGAAAATAACACGGACTCCAACCAGATAGTCTAGACGTATTAACATGTCTCACTCCAATTGTCAATGATTTCATGAATTGATGCCGCGTCTTGGTTTGACCGCCCCTAGCTTTCTTCCAGCCTGCTCCTACACCAAATACTACCGCCCGTAGAGGTAAGCGATGGTTGAGTATACGTAACATATGTCACAACTACCTCAGTTGATGAAGATTTACTACCCCATTGATCGATTTTGTATCTTTACCTAGTACTCTATTCCTAACCCAGACATGACTTACTCCGTGATTTCAAAATACACGAACAATGTTTCGTAAACATCAGTAACTTACGTATATTCTCTACTCTTAATCTCCACATTTTACATCCATAAAGTAGGACGAAGCAAACTGCAGCGCATTAGACTCACCCTTTGGTTAGAAGACGAGTATCTCGCATACGCCGTAGGTAACGTAAGTTCACAAAACCCGATCAAGCCTTCTGAATCCGAGCTGTGTGATGAGTCTTTTCAAATTTAAAAAACTATGAAAACTACAGATAAATAAAAACTTTCGTCTAAATTTGAACGAATGGTTTCGTAATATTTGGGCGCCGAGTTAACGTGAGACATTAAAGAGGAAGAATGTATTTGTAAAATCTCAGCGAAAGAATTTGAAGTAAATCCAACGTTTCGCCTGGCAATCTGGTCCAAGATTTTTCAAGGTTCAACGGTTCAAATCAGTTATCTTATCTGAATATGTTAAACAATTGACTGGAACATTAAAATAACACAAACAAATACATTCCCCTTTGAATTCAGTCTTTTATCTTGCTTATTTATCATTTAATGCATGCTGTGACATTTTTGATTCAGTTCATATATAAAATGATATGTTTTCTTAATATACACAGACCGAAGACAATATATAGTTGAATGAAATTTCTTCTCACATCACTTACGTATACACACGATTTGTTATCTTACCACTTTTCGTTTCACACCACATGTCTCTTACATACTAATGTAAATACATACTTCAAACATTGTTCACGTTGATTGGATGACTTATTCAGAATACAGTACCCATTCATATTCGATAATTTTGTTGTCTAATTATATTTTCCTTGGAAAAGCTTGAACCAGATTGCCAGACGAAACGTTGGATTTACTTCAAATTCTTTCGCTGAGATCTTACAAATACATTCTTCCTCTATGAAAATTACAGACTTTAAAAAACCAGCACCCAGAATAAAGCATTACAAAAAGTCTGAATGAGTCAGATAAGTGTTGGTCCCAATTCAATTTACAAGAATCAGTTCTGGAAAATTTATATGTATCAAAAACATCCCACATTGGCTATCCTTCATGACTTGGAAAAGTGATTCTCTACTTCAAACTGTGGACAAATAGCATATCATGACACTGAAAATTATCAACTCTAACTACTAATCTAAACATTTTACTAACAAAACACCATAAAATAGGAATTACATATAACATTGCAGAAACAAGGTATACAAATAAACACACACCAAGTAGAGGTGAACATTCTTCAGCACATTTTACTTCCGTGTTCTCATGAAGTAGTACTCTTGATAACTCTGAAGCTAAAGTTGGTAAACTTGAATTTCCCCAGCTGGCCATAACAAATATATACGATGAGGAAGAAGTTCTGAGGATAAAGGTTCCTGAAAAGGAAATATACATACATACACACAGATATGATAAACAGGGACGACTTTTTCAATGTTATCATTATTATCGCTAGTCAAAATTCATTGTCTACTTAATTACTGTTGAAACTAACATGTAAGTAAATGAATAAATATTACAGTTTTCAATTAATTTCTCTTATGGTCGAATTAAGGGACTTGATTACGTTAATCAGAACTCAAGATCAACTGCATTCGTTAGTTCAAAGTTATTGTGATATATCACTGAAGGCAGTATTAGGTATAGATATTCAAGGTTTTTGAAAACTTAGTACCGAGATATAAACTACTGTATCAAAGGGTAACTAAATGTCATGAAACAGTTTATATATAATGCGGATAAATAACCCTCTTAACACTAGATATTTCTCCAATTGGTTTTTAGTCTCATTGAAAAATCAATAACTCATGGATGACTTTGTTCATTTAATTAATTATTACTGCATCTGATTTTCAACTTCGAGACACTCTATGTAATAATGAGTAAATATTTACTATATATAAATTGTTGAATAATTACATCTCACATTAGGACTACATGTGAACCCGTTACTTCTAACCAATTAATTCAACAATGAGAGTATATAGCATCTAAAAACATTCCAGAAATCAAAATCTTGTCTATAGTTAGATCTATAAAAACCAGAGGATTTCCAGATAAATTGGACACAAAAAACCTTGGTAACCATGTAAATCTTCTATGCACTGAGCTATGGGCCTGATGCTTTGCGGAAAACCAAGATACTTGGAATCTTTTTACGCAATAAACTACTTGTGTTGAAACTTCCTATGTGATACTGTTGTTCCGCTCGTTTGTTGTTTATCAAGTCTGATTAAATTTGATTGAAATTAAAAATATCTACCAATAGTATTTAGCAGTATATAAAATGTGAACATGGTCTTTGCATGAAGTCTACGGACAAAAGATTTCTAATTTCTTAGTTAGACCACCAATGAAAACTAGGAAGCACTGGACAGTTGTTTCACCCTAGCACGGTACTCAGAGGTGAGCTACCACGACCCTGCCACAGAGAATGAAGCCCATGACCTTTGGTCTCGTGAGCTAAAGCTCATTATTCACATTCGTTTCAACGTCAGTGAAAATAGTAAAACAAACTTGCATTCACTTTCCATACAATAATAAACTGTATGATATATTGATTACCAACTAAGCCTAAGTAAACCGTTGGTTTATTGATTTTTAACTATGATTAATTCTATTGAAGATGGTGGCCTACCTAAAGGTAAAGTATTTGAATGCCCGTACCTCCAGCGACAGAAAGCCGTAGGGCGAAATGGGGTGTGCAATTTCTAGTCGACCTTCCCTAACTCTCTCCTTCCGTCATGAGAGAGTAATAACAATGGGAATCCTGGTTTCCTGAGAGGAATACCTTACTGACATCACGCTCCAATACAGCTGGCAGTACAACTTCGCACCGACTTTCAACTCACAAAACCCGGGCTCAAACTCTCACCACTGCCTACTTCCTCTTCAGCAATAAAGCAGTATCACAACCGCCCACACGCATATACAAACAATATACATCAAGGCTGTGTATAAAGTTTCAAGTTGATAAGTGAGATTTATAATCAACTTTGAAAATCAACCTTATAACAGTCTTATTCATGAACTTCGCTAGTTTACTACAAGTGAAGCGGTGGCTCAGTGATTACACTATGCAACTTTAAATTATTAAGTGTCAGGTTCAAATCCCATTCAACCTACCTACTTCGATTTAGTTAACTAGAGAATAACTTCATCTTTCGTACTTATAATGCGGTTTGAAGCCAACTGCGCAAAAGCGTACCTGACAATCGAGCCAATATAGTGATAGTAATCAACTACATGAGATATTTTAGTATAGACAATTAAATGAATAAAACACTCAAAAAAGCTCAAACAAATCAACCACAAAACACTTACATCAAAAAATATTGGTCGAAAAGATTTAATAATATCAGCGTATGTATGTTTATCGTTATTAGCTATAAATATTTTTTAAAATTTCAGTTATCATAATAATGAAACACAACACATACATGGAGTTTCTTTAATACTATTCAAACGTGTTTTGGAATTGATTCCAACCGACAGAACATTCAAAGCTGAACCTAATGAAGCTCCAAATGATGTAGACAAAACTTCATTAGGTAAGTTCAATATATACGATGGGATATGCTGTCCAGTTAGGTGAAATATAAAGTGTTCACTGAAGGTGTTACAATTATGTTCAAAAAGTGAATAATCGCCTGGTCTAAAAAAAAAACAGATGAAGTAATAATAATCATATCTCTTTGAAAATTCAAGATCAATTCATTGATACGACACGCATGTTAATAACATGAACTGAAGCCAGAAATGTAAACCATTGGATATCAATTCAGTACTCAAAAGTTTAGACGCCCCCCACCCCCATCTAATGTTTGAAGGTCCTGGATTCGACCTCTGGTTGACTCATGGACGAATATTGTGGAGGAGTCCCTCTGTTATAATTTACGATTAGTCCTACAATAACTAATTACGACCTCGGTAGTACGGCTATTGATAGATAACACCAACAATAATCGCTATAGCGAGGGGGTGCAAAGAGAAAACAGAATAACAGGATAAGCTTGATATCCCAAAGGTAAAATTCGAAGTGGGACAACTCTGTATGTATAACAACAAAATACGACCTTAGGATATAGGAAAATGAGCAAACTAGACGAAAAAACGATTAATTAACAGAAGAGGTTATTGTGGAAATATGAATGCCAAAATATTGTCGAGGCTATCCTTTAGAGAATGAACTAACATTTAATGGCAGAAGGTTGACAACCTGTGGTCGCCTTAGCACCAACACTGTGACGAAACAGCTGTCCAACGCTTCCTGGTTTTTGGAGAAGGTTTAACCGAAGTTGGTTAGTGATGAGAAGCTTCAAATTCGACAATCACTACAATCCCATGTGATAATATTACGAATAACCCGATTAGTCAAATGTTTTTTGTTTGTCGTATGAATAAAACAAGTTTGTTCATCCGTTACTGTATTTGTTTCACACGACTGATAGATCATGGTAATTTCAACTTTCCCAGATTTCGGCCCACTCCGTACTACTCTATTACTTCACAGCTGCTAAACATGACCAGTAAGGGTAGATGATAATCGTGAGTTACTAGTATTTGATCACAGATGTCTTAGAAATATTGTCAGTATCTGTTCGGATCACCGGATAAGTAATAATGGGGTTAGACGCAGGGTATTGGATAATGGTGGTAAATCAGTTGGTGAGATTGTAAATCTTCATCAACTAAGATGATTGGGCCACGTATTACGCATGCCCGACCACCGATTACCACGGCTTGTGATGCTGACTAGTGTTGGAGACAGTAGGAAGAATGTTAGGGGCGGCCAAATCAAAACGTAGCATCAATCCATAAAGCCACTAACTTCTGGTCAGAGCCATGTTGATAGATGCAATTACTTGGTTGGGGTCCGCGCGACTACCGTAACCAGTGGTTGGAGACTGGGTGACATGGCTCACAATCGGTCACAATGGCATAGGTGTGCACACTCTTTGTTTTCCCTTAAAACCGTGAGATTAAAATTACTCTTTGCTTTTCTTTTTGCGAACTAATTCTTTCTCTCTGTACGAACGAGAATCAAAATGAACACGGTGAACTACCATTTTTAAATTGCTTAAAATCTAACTATCTACCGAAATCCAGCGCGCTTAAATCGTTATATCGACTTCAATTTAGCACATCCATTCGGTGCGAAAATCTCTCTAGCCCTAAATCTCTTTAGAAAAGCAAACAAGACTATTACATTTGAAGAGGATAGACAAAAAGTACGAAAGCATATAATTGGCATCTTACGATTTAGTAATGTTGCTATGACGATTATTAAAAGTGCAATAAAACGAGACCTTTTACTGCTAATTAATAATCCGAAAGAAATACAATGGATTGGTACTGTAGTTTTACCGCACCGCCATGGTACAACAGAATTTCAAAGAGCCTTAAAATAAAACCAAATTAAAATATATTATAAAACAACGAACACCCTTCTAAATGTTTTAGTCCGCATAAAGGAAATAATTCCCTTTATATCAACACAGAATTGTGTCTACATATTAGGATGTCGTTGGAATGCCTTCTATATTGGAAAGTCATCTCGTGAAATTTTGACCTGAGCTAAAAAACATCTTAGGTACACAGAAAAATCGCCTAATAATCCCATAGAACTGGAAAGATTTCAAATTATCTCGACAATAGCAGTCCATGACATTGTCAATAACCATCAAGTCGATATTAAGAGCATCAAAATAATGCAAAGAAACTTTTCCAACTACAAAGAAAGTTGAGTAGCTGAAGCTTTCCATATATTGCTTAATCCTACAGCCTTCAAATGAAAAGAAGGCCTCACCATTCATCTGACTTGGATCATCTATCCGGGCCACCATATCTGATTCTATTCATATCTCACACCATTATCGTACATACAAATTCAAAACTAACCATTCGCATCACAAATGTCACATTTTTTCATCCTTGAACATATATACACAAAACTGCACAAACATGTCTCACATAAATCACCTCGACCGGAATGACATAACAATGACTTCACAAGACCTGTTTTTTTTAATAAGTATCTACGTATTGCTCAATTTATTTTAAATTACCAAGTCGAGTCTCGGTAATGACACCTACTCCGTAGCTGCAAAATATGTGTGAATCTAGAAGACATACATAAGATGATGGTTCTTGATCATAGGTCTCTTCGAAGCATTTCTGGCGCACAGTGTAACGACCGCGTAGACAGCACTGTGGTTAGCAATAGGGAACTTGACAAAGATGACATCAACTGAGGTGGTTGGGACTAACCGAATTCCTTGATAAAATGGTGTTATCTGATGGGCTGATTCATAGAGTACAAAATAGCTAAAGTACTTACCAAATAAAAGTTTATGTATACTGTTTTTGACCGTAATTTACTGTATGGGGAGGATCAGTGATGCTTCCCCACCCTCTCAGTTATCCTAACCAAAGTAAACGAAGAGGATTTTATACTTTTATAAATGATCTAAACACCAAGCCATCAATCCTGATAGCAATTGATCAAAATGATGTAGATTTATTCACTCTTTATCTACCCACGTTTGGAGCTTCGGTAATCCTCTATACATGCCTTTGAGCTCCGTCATTTCAAATCATATTCAAAGAGCTTAGTCTTTCGCATTCAAAGTACTGCTGTACTATTCCGACTATTTTACTATTCATCTCATCACGTTAATGTGATTTGGCAACTTGGACTAGCGCACATTTGTGTCAGGCTTGACATTAAATATGGGTGAATATAAGTACCAATATATACGTAACTAAAACAGTTTGTTTTATTATCAAGTTGACTACAATTCTGACCAGTGAATAACATAACAATGATTAACGAGCCAAATGGCAGCTTACAATAATGATAATAATAATATGTTCATTACAGATATACAAACTGATTGACTAAAGAATAGTAAAGTTTCGTAATAGCCCAATCTGCCCCTACAGCTAACACATCTTCATCACTGTCAATCCTAAGAAATTTCCACAACAAAGTATTCTACGAAATCAAAATGGATGCATGTTTATGAGGCATAAATTCGTATACTGTAAATATGACGGCTAGTAATACCCGATTGCTCAAACAGAAGCAGACACAGTAGCTGCAAATCAGATTTCTTAACGATTGTTTCGAATGAATAGTTTGTGTTTTTTCGTGGTAAGTGAATACGAGTCACCTTATTTTTTATTATTGTTTTCAAAATTAGTTGATATTTAATTAAAGCTGCCCTACTTTGTTTACCCAAAAACTATGCAGGATTACTTACACCTGTTAACCCTCGTGGAGAAGCATGGGCCACTCATCAGCATTCTTCATCCAACTCTGTCCTGAAAAATCCTTCCCAGTTGCTATTCATTCCTATGATACCTGCCTCCAATCCTTGAGTCAATGTGTTCTTTGATCTTCCTCTATTTCGTTTCCCTTCAGGATTCCAAGTTAGCGCCTGCCTCCTCATGTAGTTTGTTGATTTCCTCAATATGTGTCTTATCCACTTCCAACATCTTTTCCCAATTTCCTCTTGAGCTGGAAGCTGGTTTGCTTTTCCCCATAGTAGGCTCTTGCCGATGCTATCCGGTCAACGGATATTCAGTATCTTACGCAGACAGCTATTTATAAGTACTTATACCGCCTAGAGGACGGTTGTAGTAGTTCTCCAAAATTCAGATACGTACACTAGAACTCACTGTTTTGACGTTCGTATTAAAGATTGTGACTTTGATATTGGTTGTTGTTTTGAGTTCCATATGTTCTTCAACTGTAGGAATGTTGTCCCTGCCTTGTCAATTTTGGCCTTTACGTCTGCATCAAATCCTCCTCGATTATCGATGATTCTACCCAGATGCGTGAAATATCCCACATCTTCCATAGTTTCTCTATCAAGTGTGATTGGGTTAGTGTACTGTGTGTTGACTTTGAGAGTGTTGCTTTTTCCCTTGTGTATGTTGAGGCCTGCTGATGCAGAGACTACTACTAAATTGTATGTCTTGACCTGCATTTGTTGATGTGTGTGGGATAGAAGAACCAGGTCATCTGCGAAGTCCAAATTGTCTAGTTGCATCCAACATGTCCATTTTATTCTGTGCTTCCTCCGAGATGTCGAGGTTTTCATAATCCAGTCAACCACTAGAAGAAAGACAAAGGACGGGTAATCAGTCTTGTGTGACTTCGGTCCTTACTTGGAATGCGTCTGTCAGCTGTCCTCCATGCACCACTTTGCAGTATAGTCGTCGTATGAATCCGTATGATGTTGACGATTTTCTCAAGTACTTTATAGTGTCAAAGAGATTACCATAATGTTTGCCATCCATACTGTCAAATGCTTTCTCATAGTCAATCGACTTGATGTGTAGTGACAAGGTTCATTCAATTGATTGTTCAAAGATGACCCGTAGTGTCGTGATTTGGTTTGTGCACGACTGATCCTTACGGAATCCAGCTTGTTGATCTCGAAGTTGAGTGTTTACTGAGTCCTTCATCCAGTTCAGCAACACTTGAAAAACTTTCCTTTAGTGTATCGGTTGGTATATTGTCAAGTCCTGTTGCTTTCCCACTCTCGATTCGTCTGGTGGCCATCCTGACTTCTTCCGTCGTTGGTGGAGTGAGATCTATAGCAACGTCTAGGTGTGCTGCTTCGACATCCGCGGATTCAATGGAGCTGATCAATTCAAGAGTTCCTCACACTGTTCCACCCAGATGTTCCTCCGTCCTTGAATTTCAGTGATTGGCTTGCATTCTTTGTCCTCGATCGGTATGTCTGATCTACTATATTTACCTGTCAATTACTTCGTCGTGTCATATAGTTGCTTCATATTTCCTTCTCTTGCAGATTTTTAAACTGTCGTTGCTAGCTCTTCTATATATTTTTGCTTGTCGGCTTTATTGCTCCTCTTCACTTGCTGGTTTGCTTCTGTGTATTCAACTCGTGCCTCGACTTCCTCTGCTCTTGTTCGGCTGTTGTTAATTGCTGTCTTCTTGTTCTTCTTTTCTTCAATCTTGTCCAGGGTTCCGACAGATATCCATTGATTATGATTATGCTTATTGCAACCTAGAACCCCCTGACATGTTGAAGCTAGTGCTTCTTTCATACCTTTCCAGTTGTCCTCCATAGTAGTTTCCTCTTCGCTGAGTAGATCCTGTAAGGCTTGGAACCTGTTGTCGAGGTTATCTTGAATTCTTTGAGTTTACCAGTATGCCGAATGAAGGCTGTATTGAACCTTTGTAATCCTGTTTGTTCAGTTGCCCAATGCTTCTTTAGTTTCAGTTTCATCTTGGTCAAAATCAGCTGGTGGTGATCAGAAACTATGTCAGCTCCTCTCCTGGTTCTCACGTCTTCTATTGACCTTGTGAATTTTTTACCTATGCAAACTCGATCTATCTGATTCTTCGTGGTGTGATTCAGTGAGATCCATGTAGCTTTATGTGGGAATATTGTATTGCCTACAACTAGTTTTTTGAATGCACATAGATTTGCAAATCTCTACCGATTCTCGTTTCTCTCTCCTAGTCCATGTCGTTCTATGATATCTTCATAAACGTTGTTGTTCGTTCCGACTTCGGAGTTTAGCTATCCCATCAGGATTGTCAGGTCCTTTCTTAGACATTTAGCTACTATCGATTGCAGATCCTCGTATAGCTGACCTTCATCGTCGTTATTGCTACCATTGGTGGGTGAATAACATTGGATAATATTCATCGTAATTCTCCCCTCCTTTGTTTTGAAGGATGCTTCGGTGATTCTGGATCGATGAGTATCCCATCCTATAAGTGCATTATGTGCTTCTTAAGACAGCACTAGTGGGACTTGTTGTGATCGAAGCGTTTTTTTCTTAATGACCAAAATATAACAGCACCTCCGCTGAATCTAATTTTTCTCTATCGAGCTTGGTTCCAATTGGTTTTCCTAACAAGAACCGCCAAGTTGTATCTTCTGATTTCCTCATCTATTTGACTGGTCCTCCCGGTCTCCCACATTGTCTAGACGTTCCATGCAACTATAAAACTTGTTGCTCTGGTTGTTAGAGCGGGCATCAGCCTCGTGACTTCCGAAGAATCTCGGATCTTATTATGAGGCGTCATAATTCTTCCTTCAACTCCCAGGACAGAGTTTAAATGGTTTATTCTGGTTAGTGTTTTTTCACAAGGTTGTTTTCTACGAAATGGGGTTGCCGACCCCATACTCAACCTTTCTCCTTTATGTGGGATTGAGACCGGCAGTAGCCCTAGAAGAGCTACAGGCAAAGTTATGCAGGATACTGATGAATAATGTAAATGGGAATCAAATAATCAAATTACAAATGTTTTCATAATTGACCACGTGACTTACTTGAACAATGTATTGGATAGTCGCTCTAAATAATTGAAAATTTCAGATTCTGACAATGATGTCTTCCCCATGAATTGCTTTTTTAATGGATTTCCTAAAGAAGTTGAGCACTTGGAGAAAAATTGAGAAAAGCGACGGTGTCGTTATCGGGAAAACATATTCAAAGTGAATTATGCGAGTAGAAATATACGTTAGTAGGTTCAACTTAAAATGAATTACTTCTATACGTTAAAACCGAAAATGATCTGAACGTGATGATCGGTCCCATCCCAACTAATGAGTGTTGTGAATGGTTTTTCGACATCCTCAAAGTTTATCACTCAAATTTTATAAAATTATTGAGGATTTAGTTCTTTCCAACCAGTTCTGGAGATTGCCTTTTTAGTTAAAATTATTTTTGTTTACAACTAATTCAATTCACCCCAACTGATGGACGTGCATAAGCAGAGTGAAAAAAACACAAACCAGCTAAATTTATTGCTGTGACAACAGGCATGGATACACAAACACAGTTGATTGAGACGTTTACTCACTGATTAAAACGTCAATCTTTAGGTTGAGATCCCGTTTTTGTATCAACTAACACTCTTGATGTATTTGTTAATACTAAATTTGAATTCACTTACGATACTCAATACCGGCTTATTTACAACACGCGGTCTACACTCCGGAAGACTATATTCGAAATAGAACCCAATAAAATTGTGCCAAATAAGTTGCTGATTTGCAATTTTTGTTTTCTGAAGTGACTGAAACGTTCGATGAACACAATGGATTTAAACTGGTCGTCTATTAGAGAGATGCAACTTGAATTATGTGGACTCGCGTTTAGGAATAACGGTTGGTGCTATAGACAACAGAATCAGTTTCACCTGATCACAGCAGTAATAACAAGTGGTACACAAGTGAGTTGACGGAATAAAATGTTTGGGAGTCATCACACGTTTCTCTCAAAAATGATTGGTGTTTCGCTAGGATGTGGTCAGCGTAATATGAAAGTTTGACAGTTCTAAGGTTGTATACCGACGGATGAAATGTTCAGGGGTTTCACCGTTGGTCAAATTTATTACTGCATGTTACGTGGAACAAATTACTTATTTTCATACAAGTGAACGGCAAACAATATTTCATAATGGACAAATATACCTGTAAGAGAAATATATCAATGTAAAATTTCAAGGTGTATCATTCCAACCTTCCATCCTTTGGAACGATACAAAAACAGGGTTGATGGAAACAAAGATCAAGATGAACATGAACTTGAGTGAAGAGAATACAAAAAAATAAAAAAACGAGATTTTGAAGATAAAGGTGAAGCAGGGCTCCGACCCGAACTTAGTGATTGGAAGTCAAACAAATGAACCACTGACTCCTAGGTCTTATTAGGTAGAAAAATATTCTAAAGGATTTTACATATTTTTCAGTACCTCAGTAACTTCCCCGGACAGACAACTAATGCTAAAATAACTGTTTTATATACAAGATTCCTAAAACCTCAAGATTGGAAATGAAAAATTGAATAAAAGTCACTTCATATGAAACATCAGAAAAAGCCAACATGTGGTGAATAACATTTTGATTAGATACGTCAAAGAGGCAAGCACAATTTTATTGGAAATAACATTACACAGTAGCGGGTTTGGAGATGGCATTTTTTGATTCGCCGGAAGCGATTATAAATTACATATTGGAAAAAACGCCCTGTTATTAGTTTTTGTAAGGTTCAAGTAGATGCACAGGACGCAGTTCAATAATATACTGAACACTACATGTTTTTGAATTCGAATCTTTAAAAATCATTCCTAACTTAACAGCCTTTTATACAGTATACACATGGATGGTCAGTAAATTTGCAGTACATAATACCAGCTTCACATGAGTATTGGAAAACTAAAAGATGAGCATGCATATATATATATATATATATATATATATATATCCTAACTATTAAAACCAAAAGGATGTTGGACGAGCGAAGTATCAATAATGGAAATTAGACACGAAATTTTGTGGATTAATTCATCATACTACAAGAGCAAGGATGCATATAACCAACAGAAGCAAAAAAACCAGAACACTGGAGGACAGAAAATCATTACACATCAATTATATTGAGAATCAGGAAATAAGTTAAATAAATACAAACGACCCGTTTAGAGTACTTTTAGTTATGATTGGATGACAAATTAACTCTTTAAAGGTAGTGATTATTACCTCGCGAAATAATGAGACTGAATGTTTTTTTTGTGGATAAACGTCAATTAAAACCCGTCTCTTGATTACTCTACTCCCTTACATGCATTGTATAAGGATGTCAATTGTTAGACAGATTCCAGATATGAATAGTGAACGCATACAATGCTTATATAATGCATATAATGCTATATCTTTGAAGAGCTTGTTAAATTCACTGAATGAACATAAACACGTTCTAGGTTAAAACTCACTGGCTCACAATACTGAATTCCTGATTGTCCAAAGAAAAATTCCTTATCATACAAAACGGAAGCAGTATGCCATATTCCATCAATTTTCTTGCCTTAATTCGGAGTAGTATTAAGAAACCATCTAGCATACCCAATAGACCAGGACTAAAAACACTAGCTAGGCCACCTGAAAGATCATAAATGTACAAGAAAACATCTGACATAGCGACAGCATACAAATTGGATCCAAGTCTTAGTCATAGACTTGAGGTATTTAAACAAATTGAATTTGGTTTGAACGGACTAGAATAAATGTTCGCTTGACGGACTTCCGTATCGACTCACGATTGCGCGCCGATGGGGATTTAAAGTGGAATCATTCGACACGTCGTAAATCCAAGAAAATCCGGGTTAAATATGGCGTCTTATTTAGTTCTTGGATTCGCACAAAGTTATAGACCGATTCGGTAATTGTACAAAACTAATTCAGGTCAAACACATGGCATAACATGAATCCAGTTTCGAAATCATGGTTTATATGCATATAAATAAGAATATGATTTTCATTAAATACTATATCTTTCTAAACTTTGTAGTCGGTCTTTGATGACATTTTCGTTATTTGAACTGGTCAGTGAGCTACTGTCAGTTGTTCGATCTGCTGATGAAATGAAGCTAGTAGCCAGTGAAAACTATGCTGCCGCAGGTTACACGCAGCTTTCGCATCCACCTGTCGGTCAGTCATCTTATTCTTAGAACTAGCGACGGGAATCTATTATTTCAAGGTATTGTTTAATTGTCTCACAAATATGGCTTACTTTCTTGTCAATATCTCCAGTGGAATTCAATGATATAACAACACGTGTTTTGATCCCTGATTTGTTTTCTCAACAACCTCTGACCAACCACTTTTCTAGTACATGTAAGATTATCTGTGCGCAACCACGACCATGTCTGAAACCAGCAGGATTTTCTCCTGTTTGCAGTTAACGAGTCTTTTTAGGTTCCCGATAATTATTGAGGTTAGTATTTTAGATACTATATTAGTCAAACTAGTCCCTCTATGATTGTCACAGGATGATTTTAACCCTCTTTTATATATTGGGACGATAAGTGATTGTGACCAGCCAGATGGAATAACGTCTAACTCCCAAATCGTAGCTAAAATATTAGTCAACCTAATCGCTAAAATTGGACCACCATCCTTAAAGACCTCTGAAGCCAATCCATCTGAACCAGCTGCCCTTCCTCGTTTTAGATTAGTTATAGCCTTTTGAACTTCAACTAGAGTCGGGGGACCTACTTCAATGTTCCATTCACACTATCTGGGAATGGAGGGTAGTTGTAGAGTAGCTGAGGGCCATTTGAACTGTTTTTTAAAGTGTTCCGCACATCATTTTGAACGTCTGGGCTGTGAGCGGATATAAGTGTCGTCTTTTTCCAAGATCCTCTCTGTAACGGAAAGAGAAAAACCCTTTGCAGCTTTTTTGTTGGACAGTACTGTCATTTACTTATTTCTTCTTCCGGTCGTGTATTTTAACCTTTGCGTTAGAGAAACTTTTGACTGTATAGCACAGGCTGTACCGTTTGAGGTATTTTGTATTTTTGATTTAATTTGTTCTATTTCCTAAATTAGAACCGCTTAAATTGAGCACAGAGTATGTGTTTTGATATAATTTAATACGAGTAACTCAAAAACACTTCGTACGCTATACAGATGAATGTGGTCTGGCCTATTCGAATAAATTTCGGTCCGTCAGTCCTACGTTCAGACCGAAAACTGACAGTTCGGTCGTTACACTCTCATTTACACATGAATGTTTAGTCCCAGTTTCTTTTATGAGTCTGGAGAGCTGTATTGTGTTACATATAGCCGCCGTTTACATCTCTATTTCTTTCGATGCACACCACTGCTCAATGTCGTTCCCTAGACTTTTTGTTAACCGAGATATGATTTGTTTTTGCCATTCATCATGTTTACAGCCTGATGGGATGAGTTTACGAGAATCCATCAGTGCAATAGACCTAGGAGAAATCCACTGGTTTTTGTAACCCTTTGATTTAGATCACTATTAGATGACACTACTGTCTCCACAGCTGCTTGTATTGATAGATATACGTCTGTGTAAGCCCGGTTTTCAGAAATACCCAAGTGTGACTTTAACTGTCCTGGAACCTACTTTTAGCTTCCTCGTCACTGAGTTCGACTCTTATGGGTCTGTAGAACTAATGGTCTACTATGATATTAGTACTGCTCTAATAATAGACCTAATCCTAAAATTGTAGACTTGTCATGATATAACTGCCTAATCTATAAGATCTTACGTGGAAGTCACACCATGACTACACCAACTCACTGTATCGTATCAATTACCAATACATGATGTAGAACAAGGTTAGGCTAGAGAAGGAACAATATATTTAATATGAATAGAAGATATAAGTAACATTCAGCAGAGACCACGCCTGCATGGCCGAGCCATGCCACTCGATCAACTCCAGTACATTCAACTCATTGTTCGCGCCTTCTCCATCGTTAGGTATTTCTCCGCGGTAAATATTGAATATCCATTTTCTTAGTAGTCTTGTGTTCAGCTTTGAAGATTGCGTGGTTATGGTCCAATGCCACTACAGGTCTTCATAATGTGGTTTTCCAGCGTTTAGAGAGGTGCAAGCAAACGCGTGTTCGTATTACAGCATGATCGGAGTCCAAACAGGTATTCCAGAACGAGCAACAGTCCTCGGTTGAGCCTCTCCAACGATGACGGATGACAATATGGTCTGTTTGAGCCCATCGTTGGTTTGGTGCAGACGGTCACCATTTTGGACGATACCTCTCCTTATGTTTAAAATTAGTGCTTGTTAAAAATAAAAGATTATCTGAGCACAGTTGTAACAGACGATCACCATTATCTGTTCGCTGAGCCAGAATACTAAGAGATTCACCTAAATGTCGATCTGTTTTGTTTAAGTTACCTATCTGAGCATTAAAGTCACCTCCTACAAGTACTATGTCTGAACGTTCAGATTTCTGAAGAAGTTAAGAAAGCTTTCTGTAGGTCATCTTTCATTTCATCTGGCTGCAGTGAGTGGGAGTGTACGCAGAAACAATGAAAAGGCAACTACGTGTTTCCCTATCCTTCCGAGTTCTTACAGAGCCGTTTAGCTAAACAGCACATAGACGACTGTTAACGGGGATCCATTTTAACAGTACTTGTTTCGCTCTCGTACATAGTGCTATACCTACACCTGCCAGTCCACGAGAACTAGCCATCGAGGCGCCAGATAAACGAAGGGTTTGTCTCATCGGCTCACAGTTTTGGCGAGGTAAGGTAAAGTGAATGACCACACTAGGACCTTGTATGTGTGTTTTGGAGACACAGCATACATCAATGGTACGAGATTCTAGGGTTTCAACCAAGGAGGCCTGCTGGTCGATTTGATATAGGGTGCGTCCGTTGAAGGCTCCAGTGTGTAGTTTAGAGCGAGGTTTCAGTAGTCGTGGGACGTCTTTTCGTGCACTAAAATCGTTGGTCATGGCGACATTTAGGGAGAAAGTTTAGAGTTGAAAGTCGAGGTGGGCGGAATAATAGGAATTGGAGAGGGAGATTGGTTATGAATGCAGTGGTCTTGATTGCTGCTAGAGGTATGAAGGTGGTTATCAGTTCCCGATTCCCTACATCGTGAAAGGGTTCTCCTGGAGGCACGAGAAAAGGGAATCGGATTAGAGATGGTTTTAGTGACCTGAGAGCGTGACCGAGGTACCCAAGGGACAACTGCTTGAGGTCGGTCACGCACGACCTTTTGTGGGTAATTTTTGTGCTAACCCCGTACGTGTTATGCTGGTGGGTGGCCTATGCTCTCCCGCGAGGGACAACAGCGTAAGTAAGTAAGTAAGTTGAGGCCTAACCGCCGGAGACAGATATCCGTGGATAAGGCGAGGTGTGCGGTCCTATGACAGACTTTTTCTACCTCCTCATTGTGGGAAGGCAGCACCGCTGTTATGCTGGTTGTCTGGAGGAAACACTCTACTGTGATCACACCTCTGTACAACTAGCAGTACGACTTCACCTTTGAACCCCAGGTTTGCTGCTTTTAGTCTTACCGTTCTTCTGCTGACCTGTCTAGCATAGTGGGACTTGAAGGACGATTGTTCATCATGATAGTCAAGCACAACCATCACATCAAGGTAGTATCAACGGTGTTTGTAATCAAGCTGGTATAGATCAATTTGTTTTTTAGTGCTGGGTGAATTAAATGTAGCAATAATCTTTCCACTGTTTTGAGAAAAAGCGAAGTTATTGCCATGGGTAGAACTAGATGAGAACAACTGGACGTTTTATATTTAGGATTCGTAATAAGCGTATAATCAAGTACAAATGAATCATCATTTAGTACGAATGACACAAGCAGTAAGTTGAAAGTGAAATTATAAATTTACATCCAGTGACACAACAGAATAACAGAGAAAAATGATTTAATAAAATGACAATAAATACGATTTGGTGAAGAAAGATTTGCAACTGTTTCTTTTTGGATACAAAAGTCAGGCCAAAGGCGGTTGATGATTATAGCTTCGGTGAACTTGACTATCGATTGATTGGTATCGAAAGTGTTTAAGTGTATAAACTTAATACTCTGCGTCGCGGAGATTTTTTTCAACAACACAGTTTAAAGCATTTAATCCTATTGACCTGATTCTTGTTTGGATATGTTCCAGGTATCAAACGTAAGCTGTTCTTTCGGTTCTAGCAAAGTAACTGGTTTGGTAGACAAATGTAAGTGCGGTTAGTGGCAAAATAAAAAGGGGTATTTCTCAGTTTTTTGATTGGAGTAAAAAATCTCATTCTTTTATCCACGATAATCAGCCTGGCTACGCGATACCTCCTGGTTAGTGTGGTTTTAAATCTTCTGTTTACCATCGCTTCAACATCGTAACCTTTGAATCTAGGTTGAATGAAAATGGAAAATGGTTTCTTTAGACCTCTCGTCTTTACTTTTTCCATATTTCTTAGTAACTTTCGTTCGAAAGCCGTTGTTCCTTAGGTATTTTTTAAACAATAAAAAATTCTATCAACAGACTAAATATTACATGGTTCAAGAAAAATAAGACCGTATTTGATAAAATGTATAATCCTTATTGTATCACTACAATATTGTATTTTTATTCAACTACGGTAAAAATTTGAGCGTTGAGCGATATAGATACGCAAGATTAACTGTTCTAATGGACCGGTGACATTAGTGATACAACAGATATTATTATTACTCAAGCCCACATGAGTAGGATGATTGATTAGTTTGTCGAAATATCTCTTTCTTAGCTTGTATTGATGTAGATCTACGCATCTTTTACTTTTCCAGAGTTTTCACTGTCACAAATTACGCTGTAGAAGGAACCTGAGCCGTGCCCTATCCTACACATTATATGTTAAAAAGTAGAAGAAAAATGCGTTCAAATATTTTGGTGATGAAAGTTTGGAAGCTATAAAATACACTCATAATTAGAAAAGGATGAAATTTCCTGCAGATTCCTATGGTGCTGTGGAAGGCTAGTCTGGCTGTTTTTGTAAATCACTTATTTCGTTATTAATCGATGTTATACCTTTTCAAGTTTTTGAAAGATAAAGCAATGATTTTTAGTGTCTTTGTGACTTGCATCAGCTAAGGTGTTTTCACACTTTTAATGATGGTAAATTTTCAGATTTTGTTTGTGCGAATCAATATTGTCTGAAAATACTTTACATACTTTCATTAATTTTTAGATCCTCTTGTTCATTTTCGAGCGTGGTTGCAGTATCCTCTTGAAATGTAATGTTTGGTCCTATCATATTACATTATCAACGTTATCGAATCCTCACTATTCATACATAAGAGGAACTCTTAAGTAAATTATGTGTCTAGTCTAAGAAATCAGATAACAATAGAAACCAGATTCTACAAATCATAGTTTTCTGTAACTAAACCCCTCCTATTAGTCGGATTGAATGCCTACAACACAAATAGTTCGTTATTTCTGCTCAGAAAAATATGAAGACTGATCAACATGAAATGAAGCCTCTATGTGGTATTTCTTTAGTGCCCATATATTTTTAATGTGGTATCATTAACCTGCAACAGTCATTTGTAGTGATCTTACAGGAAGAATAAGTTGATACAATCTACAAAAGAACCAGAAGATAAGTTGGACGCTATTTATGTCTTCTTTTTAAATGTATTATGCTTCTCACTTTTTCCTGTCGAGTAATAAATGAATTCTATGTGTTTTTGTTTACTCACGACACTTTTTCATCTGCTCTACAGTACAGTAAAGATATGCATATCGTGTAAACGGATAAATTGCTCTTTTCTTTTCAATCATAACAGGATTACATCATAGATTTAATGCAACAAAGTTTAACAAGCATCAAACTCTAAATTTTATCTGTAATTGTTTGCATCAGGCAGTAGAATCTGAAGACGCTGATTTTATTTTCTCTAAATGTTGTTCTCAGACGACCTATGTACACTCAATATGTCATTCTACAATAATTATGAGTATACAATGAATAGAGTTACGTAGAGAGATAAATGAGGCAGGACTATTAAGTCATCAAACAGATAATATGGAGGTGGTCTTCTACGTAAATAACGAAAGATAGATAAACAGAATAGATATTTGATAATGTAAAGTTAATACGAACGACAAACATTTATACTTATGCATTTCAAATAATAATAGCAACTATAACGATCAGTTCATTGACATTTTATTCAAAAGTGATTTACATTTACCTATCGAACAAATAAGGATTACTATTGTAAGTAATAATGGATACCAATGAATATATTCCATTACAATAAATCAAAATACTTCTATTCGGAAACATGCAAATGATAATCAGTATAAAATCTTGTTTATCAACGATCTTTCATGATTGTTTTCGATCAATTGATCTTACGAAAAGATTAAAAATATACAACCTGACTCTAAATTATACGCTTATTAGTTATATTGTAAATTCAATCGAACTCATTCAGCAGAACTCATTCAACATCAAGATATTTTTTTTCGCGTAACAACAGTGTTTATTACTCAATTGGTGAAAAAATCAATTATATTTTTTATCATAAACCATAGAAATAAATAACGAATTAAAGAACACACACAACATAATAATTCTTTATCAATTTCTTCATATCTAAAATCACAAGACATAGCAACAATAAAGCACAGCACAAACACATACTGATATAGAATTTTAGGAAAGAGAACAAAAAAAAACAATAGAATGTTAACAAACATACAATAAAATAATTTCGGGTATACAAAAAGAAAATCAAATAAATAAATAAATAGAGGACAATCACAAAAATTATGGACAATAATGGACAAAATTATAGTTCAATTTATAAAGATCTCAATTACACAACAATAATAATGAATAAAACGTAATGAGTATCTAATTCTTCTTCTTTCTTTTTTTCTTTCTTTTTTTTCTAGTATCTATATATGTATATGAGTTGAATTGAAAATAATGTCAAATACTTCTTTTTCCCATTTTTTTTTTGTTTTTTTCTTTTTATATGGAAAAACCTAAAATAAATAAATTAATTTTGTGAAAATGTAAATTTTAAAATACTGCTGCCTGATTGTATCTTAAATTTTTAGACATTTATTTCCCCTACTCCCTACCTCCCTCTCTTACTCTCTCTTTCGCTCTCCCTCTCTCTCTCTCACTTTCTCTTTCTCAGTCATTCATTCATATTTATAAAGAAATGCATACAGATAGATTTTTGTGTATAAATCAATCAAGTTATGAATGGCATAAATTTGATGGAAATTTAATAAATAATTTACAATATAGGAATATTTTCTTGTATAGATGAAGTAATAGTTGATGTTGATATTGATGTTGGTGTGGAATAAATATAATAATTTTGATCTGGTGTATAATAAATAAATGGTTCACCACAATAAGTTAATATATCATCTCTTGTTTGTACAGTATTATTATTATTATTATTATTAACATTATTATTAATATTATTTGAAGAATATTTCGAACAGATTATATTCGATGGATAAGAGCATGGTACACCGACATAATATCGTATATTGCCATTATTTGTTGCTTCTACACTATTATCTTGTGGTAGAAGTATTTTTGCATGATAATGTGGAAGTTTATTGGATAGAATATTTATTGTTGGATGATTACCATTATTTGTAATGGTAGAAGTAGCAGTAGTAGTATTAATAGTAGTATTACAAGTAGTATCATTATTATGATCTGGAATGGTACTATGTGGCATTGAATAAAATGCTTGATTCTTATTTGTAGATAATGGAAATAGATATTCATTAGCAGGAAAATAGGTGACAATTTGCGGTATATAATATAATTCACTAGTAAATTGACAAGAATGATAATGATGATAATGATAACAGTGTGGATTATGATAATAATAATAATTATTATTATCATGTTGATGATGATGATAATGATTATGACAGAGTTGAGAATGAATATGATGATTACATAATGCACAATTATTCATACATAATAGTTTCTGATTTGAATATGTCATTTTATTGCGAATTTGTGAAATGTTCTGTATATTTTCATTATCATTCATTGTTTTCTTTATATAAATTGAATTGTCAACAGTCTTTTGTAAGTGATTATTATTTTCCATAGATTTCTCAATGTAATTATTGTTATTATTATAGTTTACATCAGTTTGTGATTCATTTGTAAATTGTATATGATCATTGTTATTGTCATCAGTGTCATTGTTGTTGTTGTTGTTGTGACTTTGTGCATCATTATTATCATTATTTTCATCTTCAACATTCGAAGTGTTTTCCACTTTGTTTACATGTTTCAAATCAATATTTGATTGAAATGAGTTAGAAATTGTAGAATTTTGTTGATCAGTTATATCTTTTGAATTATTCATGAATTCAAATTGACATTGAGGATTGTATAATTCATATAATTCATGTTGATCATTTATTGAATATAATTGTTTAGGAAAGTAATTAGTCCCGTAAAATACCTTAATAAATGGATAAGTTAAAAAGAATCATGGGTAATTTCGATGAAGCTATTTTTGTTGAAATAAAATATGATTTAAAAATCGTTAATTCTCGGTTCTGTATTTACTTACGCATGTTATTGTTCATGGAGGAGCATAGGCCGCTCATCAGCATTCTCCATTGAACCCTGTACTGGGAATTCCTTTCTAGTTGTTCCTAGTTGCTATTCATTCCTTTGATATTTGGCTCCGATTCTCGATGTAATGTGTTCCATGCTCTTCCCCTTTTCCTCTTCCCTTCAGGATTTCAAGTTAGCGCTTGCCTCACCATGCAGTTTGATGATTTACTCAACATATGTCGCACCCACCACTTCCATCGTCTTTTTCTAATTTCCTCTTCATCTGGAAGTTTGTTTGTTCTCTCTCACAGTAGGCTGTTACTGATGGTATTTAGTCAACGGATATTCAGTATTTGCGTAGACAACTGTTATTAAATACTTGAATCCTTTTGATGATGGTTGTGGTAGTTATTCACGTTTCACCTCCATACAATAGAAGTAACTGACTTGACATTCGTACTGAAGATTATAACTTCGATGTTGGTTGACAGTTGTTTTGAGTTCTATATGTTCTTCGACTGTACGGATGCTATCCTTGCCCTTACATCTTCATCAGATCGTCCTTGTTTATAGATGATGCTCATTAAGTACGTAAAACTTCCCACTACTTTCAGAGCCTTTCCATCAAGTGTGATTTGTTTGGTGCTCTATGTATTGAATTTCCGGATTCCACTTTTTCTGTTGTGTACGGTGAGACCTGGTGTTTCAGAGTTTGCTGCTACACTGGCTGTCTTTTCCTGAATTTGTTGGTGTGTATGTGTTAGCAGAGCCAGGTCATCAAGTCTAAATCGTCTAGTTGCATGAAAGCTGTTCAGTGCTTTCTGTGCTTCCCATCAGATGTGGAGGTCTTCATAATCCAGTCTACCACCAGAAGAAAGAGAAAGGGAGAGAGTAAACAGCATCGTCTGACACCGGTCCTCATTTGGAACGTATCTATCAGCTGTCCTCCATACACGACTTTGCAGTGTAGTTCATTGTATGAATTCCGTTTAATGCTGACGATTTCCTCAGGTACACCATAGTGTTGATGAAGGTTCCATAGTGTTCTTCTATCCACTCTGTCAAATGCTCTATCATAGTCAAGAATTTTGGTGTACAGTAAAAGGTTCTTTCAAGTGATCATTCAACAATGATACAAAGTGTGATGATTCGATCTGTGCACGACTGGTTTTACGGAATCCGGTCTGTTTATATCGAAGTTAGGCTTCTATTAAATCTTTCATTGAGCTCAACAACACTCTATTGAAAATGTATCGTGATACGATTATACACATAAATTATATTATAAATCAGACAGTGTTAGTGACTGATAGCTTATTACATTCAAATTCATTTATTGCCTAGGCGTTTAAAATGACATACATTTCAATATACACTGATGTTATTTATGTCACTGGTGAAATCAGTGTTCAGTGAGTGAAGAAATCATTATTTAGTCTTACGTTCTTTTTTTACAACAAGCCATATCAGTGTTGTTCCACTGAATAAATAGCAAATAACAGTTTTTACCACAGCCATAATGAAGTGGCAGTATCAACACTTTGTCAAGTCATAACGTTTCGGAGAGCAAATTATTTATTGTGTACAATTCAACCACAGAGTCCAAGGGATGTATAATGGTGTGTTCGAAAATGTATTCCTTAAATTATGGAGTTGAGCAGGATAAGGCCATTTGAGGAGAAAAACCTGGCTAATCGTCCTAAAACATGGTTACTATATATTAAATTAACAGTTTTTTGGTCTTAGTCTGGTAATGAAATGTAAATAATCTAATTGCGAAGATCTGGATGGTTAAAATTAGTGGCTGATTATTTAAAATGATGGAAAATCACATAAGTTGATCTAATTTTGTATTTTTCTTAGGTTTTAAACCCATCGCTACTCATTTGCCATCCTCTTTTGTAACAAACCATCATTCGTTATACGATCATCAAAGCTTACTAGAAAGTGTATTCTTTCACTATTCAAGCCATCAATAACTGATTGGTATTCATTGCATATAAAAGAAAGGCATCATCATAGATTTTTCATTACCAGCGAATAATAAAATAAATTATAATCTGTTGAATGTTTTCTACCTCTTTTCACGATTACTATTAAACGTCAGCTGACAGATTCTATGAAAATGTTCGTTGCTTAAGTACTACTCAAAATATACTTAAAACTCTAGTAATATTATTTTGACTACTCGATAGCTTATCAGTAGCAAACCATTTTCAGCATAAGTTTCGGGAGCACTAATATCAAGTAAACGAAATATACTGATTGACATATAATTTCTAGTTATATAACACTTGATGTTCGTTAGACAACCAATGAAAAGTCAAGAAGAATCGGGTAAATATTTTCTCCTGGTTTTTAATTCTTCATCAGTGAGCACCAACAATATCATCAGCGATCAAGTTCGAAACCTCCAAATTTTGATTAACACTGAGACTAATGAGCAGCCGTCCACTGGTGTGCATGTACTTTAATTAATTCTCACTACTGTGAAACCATCTTACATTGCGTGAAATGGGTACCTGTCTTACAGTAGACATGATTGCACTCCCCTAATCACAAATCATCACTAGGACATTCCAAGACCGAAGATCCTAAGTTCGGTCCCCATTGGTATAGTTGATGAACACAGTTGAGGAGTCTAACACCAGAAGAAATCAGTTATCCAGTTTTTTCTGAACCTCAATGGTTCTCTAAATTAGATCGTTCCAACGTCCAAACAATAAAATTAAAAGATTTTCACAAACTCTCCATACTAGTAATAATTATAAGCCTAAAATATGTTTTTATCACGAGTCAATGTAAAATAAGAAAACATATATGTATAACATACTTTATCTAATGCCCAATCTTTTGACGAGAATTCTTGTAAATGTACAACAGATTGTTTATTTTGTTTTTCTTGTTCAGTAACATCACGTAAGAACATTTGAATCAAGCATAATGTTTGTTGTCTTTCATGTGTCATTAAACAGATTGTAGAATGGGAAACAACTTCATATAAGATCTAAAGTGTTTACAAATAAAGAAACAAATTAAGAATAAGTTTTATTACTATATTTTAATCTTAGGTGAAACAGTAAAACCGTTACACGTGAAAATATTATTATTAACATAGATTTAAATACATTGTGGCTAGTAGTTGAATCCAGGATGTATGTCTTGTCTTACTTAGGTCGCGTCGGCTAAACATTGGTTGTTTAAACTAAAAGGTGCTAGGTTCTAGTTCTGGTGTAAATATCAATACTAGGATGAAGTTCTTTTCGGCTGACGAATCTTGAACTTGACAAAACAATAGTAACGAATTCTACCATTAACCATAATTCATTTATTGTAAAATAATCCATGGTAAAAAATATCTATATAGAGGCAATTCACAAAGGATTCACATATCTCAACAAAGATTGATCATAATTCTATCATGATTATCAACAACCTGTTTTATTATTATTTCCAATCTATGAGTGAACAATGTAAATGTTGTGAGACAAAGTTTCATGTCTTGGAATTGACTTGGTGTGCTAATACATTTTTGTTCAAAAGGATTATGCAATCTATCGAGGAGATAATTTTAAAAAAGTGTTAATTTATCCACCACAGTTTTGGTTATATTCATCCCTATGTTTAAGTTTTAGTGAAAAAAGTAATTTGATTACGCTTAAAATTACTCGAGAAATTTATAATCTGAGATAATAACTGTTATGTTCGCTACTTGATTACCGCAGAATATGGTATACAACAACGATCCTAGAACGTATAGAACCGTACAGTCGCAAATCGAAAAACAGAAAAAATCTGGTGAAGTGTTTGTTGGGTAAGAATCAAAATGAACAGAAAATCATGGGTATTTATACACATATATTAGTGTTTGTTATATCAACATTATAATTCAGCCAGTCCACAGAGAGGCGCGTTATGCTGCTGTTTGATAGTAGCATGCCACATTGATATTCTCGAAAGCCCCATCATGTTCTGACTGGATAGAAACTCTTCGACTACTTTAAGGCCTCTGGAGGCTCCGTCGTAGTTCTCAACAATAACAAAATAAATTTCATGGATTCAATAACTCTCGGTGAACGCTTAAATTAAAATGAAATATATATTGATAAATTAGGATAGTTGGCTAGGCAGCTGACTTCTCGTTATACTGAACTTGGTCAAGCTAACAGATTGTTTCATTAGACCTTACAAAGACTCGACAAAGTAACTTGGTTATTAAATGACAAAAATACTGTAGATAAATTACAATTTAGATTTTCACTTCATTAACGTAGCACTTTTAAAATAAGACTGAAGAGGTATTTGAGATTATCTCTTGAAGATCAACCAGTGAATTACTGACATATTTACAGGTCAGTCCAATAAAGAATCCAGGCAGTACATAAATTACATAAATCACAAACTACGTATATAAAACATTACCTCAACATCACAAAGATTCACAAAATAAATGGATTGTAGATATCAGGGAAATCTAACAATCTCATTTAGTTATATCTAAGACTTGTCAGCCGGATATATATGCACTGTATTATGTTGACATCAAAATTAACACATCAATTCAGTATCTTTCAATGTAAAATGCCAATCGATTATCCACTGAACTATCACGTTCAGATGGGTACTAAATTGTTCAAAGGCTTTGATGATTATATCATTATTAGTAAACGTTTTAATAAAATTTAAATAATATCAGATGGGTTTTGTGGATATTATAGTAATTTCAATGGTTAAGATCATGAGTCAGTTGAAGCTAGACCACCATGGAAAACCCGGAAGCACTGGACGGCCGTTTCGTCCTACTAAGGGACTCCTCAGCAGTGCGCATCCACGACCTCGCCTCGCGAGGCTCCCACCTTAGAGCTTAACCATTAGACCACTGAACTGGTCAGCATCCAACGGTGTTGATGTCTAACTTCAACTAATCCAAGAAATTCAGCGACAAATTCACCGTTGTCTTCAGTGAATTACTATCTTACAACAGACCTGGTTGAACTCTACTGGTCACTACTTGTCACTAGAACTCCAGGATATACCTCGGGAAGCCAGTCACTAGTGAGCGAATGTTGATTAATATCAGATGGGTTTTGTGGATATTGTAGTAATTTCAATGGTTAAGATCATGAGTCATGTTGTAACGGGTGACTGTAGGTTTGATAAGCAGCGTTTTATCGATCACCTCAGTGGCACGTAAAACACGTAAGGACGACCTAGAGTCCCGATTGACCCCGATTCCCTGTCTAGCCCAGCCAGTTGAGTCTAGAACGCAAGTCACAGCCTCTGAGTTATGAATCGTTATATTTCAAACATACTCTGTTTATATACCAACCAAACAGACCACATCGTACCATAAAAATAGAAAACAACATCTGTACAATATTTAACGGGTGAAATAAATAACGGCCAATAGGGAATGTCCATTTAAGGTCCAAGGACATCATTAGACTTAACATGATAATGATTGGTATATCATTCTGCATCCATAACAAGTCAGTTGAAGCTAGACCACCATGGAAAACCTGGAAGCTTCAACTGACTCATGATCTTAACCATTGAAAATAAAATTTGATTGTTTAAAAAAGGAAACGTTTCATTATTATTATTATTATTATTATTATTATTATTATTATTATTACTATATGTCTATTCATGTGTTGTCCAGGAATCATGATATAAAGTGCAAAAATACAACAACAACGAAAAAAGACTGAAAGAATATTTTGGAACAAAAATGATAAATAAACGAACCATGAATACACATACAAAAGAAAAATAATAATATAAAGGTTGCCTTTTTTAAAAAACACACACACAATGTTCTTTACTAGATTATGTCAAAACCAAGTCGATTTTTAACTTAACACTTACACATTATCCTGGTGTCAATTTTGAAATAGTATCTTATTTAGTCCCAATGTTATTGGTAGTATTTAGTTAAGCAAACTAGAAAAAATATATATACATCTATGTTAATATGCTAATAATGCATGTGTGTGTGTGTGTTGTAATTATATGTATATGTACCTTACTTTATGTAGTTGAAAAATGAAATGAATATGGTATGATACAAAGTAAACAACCAGAAAATAAAAAATAATAAACATCAACCTTCTTGAAGAGGTTAGTGGAAGAAAAGCTTGAAAATACAGTAGGGGGGGGAAGATTTTCTTTTTTTTAATGAAACATTGACAAATCATTCACGATATATTGCACACAATATTCTGTTATTAGATCAATTTTCTTCTTTTACCTTTCTCTTTTTGTTTTCTTGTTCAATTCATTTCACATTATTTTATTTATCCAAAAATTAGGGTGATATATTGTAAATAAAAAAATAATGTAATGAAATAAACATCAACCTCTATACGGGTTGTGAAGGTTATTAAGTTTTTGATTGGGATCATGACCCGATTGATGTTAGACCACCGATGGAAACCTGGAAGCACTGGATTGCCGTTTCGTCCTATCGTTGAACTCCTCAGCAGTGCGCAGGATTCGAACCCCGGGGCCGGTGTCAGGTACAGACAGGTATCTACCTTAGTACAGTGGAAGATGGTCGCGCAATTTCGTGGATTGGTTGATGTTAGATACTAACACAATTGGATGCCGGCTCAGTGGTCTAGTAGGTTAAGCGTTCGTGCGCGAGACTGAAGACCCTGGGTTTGAATCTCGCGAGGCGGGATTGTAAATCCGCACTGCTGAAGAGTCGCACAATAGGACGAAACTGCCATCCAATGCTTCCAGGTTTCAAACGGTGGTCTAACATCAATCGGTCCATGATCTAAATCATAGACATTAAGCCTTGGAATAGAAATAATTTACACTCAACATGTATGTTTTGTTCATGTATTGATGCTTGAACTGAATAGTGGTTTTTGAATTATGACTGAATGTTGAATGAAAATGGAGTTGTTTATATTTCAAATTTATTAGTAAGATTATTTGGCTATGATTATTTCATTTTAAAAAGGTTTTTTTTCAGGAAAGAGCAATGAGATATGTGAAATAAAAAGAAATTATTTAATTTAGAGGTTTCATATCACCTTCAAGTAGAATGGAGTTATAAGTAGTAGTAGTAGTAGTAGTAGTAGTAGTAGTAGTAGTAGTAGTAGTAGTAGTAGTAGTAGTAGTAGTAGTAGTAGTAATATAACTATATATGAATATTTATTATACTTAATTAATAAAGATGAGATGGAACTAGGAACTTATAATAAGAAGAAAATAGGATTCTAAGTGACAAATTTGTATTTCTTGGAATTTTCTGTTATACTAAACAGTGAAGAGATGATGTTTTAGTTACCAGTAAAGAGAAAGAATGATTCCATAACCAATTAACACACTTATAATCGAAGTTAACTTACTGGCTGAACGTTATGAGGATGCTAAGAAAAATAATATTATATAATGAATACTAGTTTGAGCTAGGTATTCAAAGTGAGACCTAAAATTTATAGATTCCATATCTGATGGGTTCGTGGATGAACAGTTTTAAAGGGAATTACACTAGAATGAAGAAACTGTTCAGTGCTCCCTGATTTTTCAAAGGTTATTTAATTATGGCTAGTTCGGAGGTAGATTATAAACGCATTATTGTAAAAAGTATCTTGTTCACCTCAAAAGTGGTCAACCAACATTTTGCTTCTATATGCGTAGAACAAAATCACATGATAGCGAGGGTGTCTACAAAGTAGTCGGGTAGAGACAGGTATCTGCCTCAGTACAATGGAAGTTGGTCGCGCAATTTCGTGACTTGGTTGATGTTGGACACTAACACCATTGGATGCCGGCTCAGTGGTCTAATGGTTAAGTGCTCAGGCGCGAAGCCAGTAGGTCCTGGGTTCGAATCCCGCGGGGTGCGGGATCGTGGATGCGCACTGCTGAGGAGTCCCATACTAGGACGAAACGGCCGTCCAGTGCTTCCAGGTTTCCAACGGTGGTCTAACATCAATTGATTCATGATCTCAACCAAAAACATAGTAATCTAGTTATTCAGAAGGTGTACAACAA